CACACCTATCAGATTGGCCAACATGACAAAACAGGAAATTGGTAAATGTTGGAGATGTGGAAAATTGGAACACTCACGCATTGTTGGTGGAGTTGTGAACTGATCCAACCATTTTGGAGATCAATTTGGAACTATGCCCAAAGGGCAATAAAAATGTGCATACCCTTTGACCCAGCAATAGCACTTCTAGTACTGTATCCCAAAGAAATCATAAAAATGGGAAAAGGACCCACATGTACAAAAATATTTATAGTAGCTCTTTCAGTGGTGGCAAAGAATTGGAAATTGAGGGGATGCCCTTCAACTGCAGAATGGCTGAACAAGTTGTGGTATATGAATGTTATGGAATACTATTGTGCTATAAGAAATGATGAGCAAGCCGACTTCAGAAAAACCTGGAAAGACTTGTATGGACTGAAGCTGAATGAAGTGAGCAGAACCAGGAGAATATTGTACATAGCAACAGCCACACTGTTATCAGCCCCATATTTGTATCATAAAAAGAATTTGGTAAGACTCCTTTTTTGCCTATTTTCCCAAATAGTCTATATAGTATTGGAATTAATTGTTCTTTAAATGTTTGATAAAATTCGCTTGTAAATCCATCTGGTCCTGGAAATTTTTTCTTAGGGAGTTCATCAATGGCTTGTTCAATTTCTTTTTCTGAGATGTGGTTATTTAAGTATTTTACTTCCTCTTCTGTTAATCTGGGCAATTTATATTTTTGTAAATATTCATCCACTTCACTAAGATTGTCAAATTTATTGGCATACAGTTGACTTTGACAGACTAAACTCTTCTTAGCAATGCAGTGATCTAAGAAAACTCCATAAGTCTCATGATGGAAAATGCTATCCACATCCAGAGAAAGAACTCTGGAGTCTGAATGCAGATCAAACCATACTATTTGCTCTTTTTTTCCCCTTCTGTTTTGTTTTGTTTCCTCTTTCTTGTGGTTCTTCCTATTTGTTCTAATTCTTCCTTACCACATGACTAATGTGAAAATATGTTTAATAGGAATGTATATGTATAGCCTATATCATATTGCATGCCATCTTGGGGAAGGAGATGGGGAGGGAAGGGGAGAAAATTTTAAAACTCAAAAGTGTATGGAAATGATTGTTGAAAACTAAAAATAAACTAATTTTAAAAAATCAAGTAAGACAGAGGAAAAATTGGGAAGAGAAAGGAGAGTGATACAAGAAAATCATGAAAATGAATCAACAGCTTGGTAAAGGAAACACAAAAAAATACTGAAGAAAATAACACCTTAAAAACCAGACTAGACCAAATGGGAAAATTGGTAAATTGGTACAAAAAGCCAATAAGAATGCCTTAAAAAGCAGAATTGGCCAAATGAAAAAAGAGGAACAAAAATTCATGAAGAAAAAAGCTCCTTAAAAAGTAGAAGTGGCCAAATGGAAAAGGATGTACAAAAACTCACTGAAGAAAATATTTCCTTAAAAATTAGAATTAAGCAAATGGAAGCTAATGACTTTATGAAAAATCAAGAAACAATAAAACCAAACCAAAAGAATGAAAAAATAGACGACAATATGAAATATCTCACTGGAAAAACAACAAACATAGAAAATAGATCCAGGAGAGATAATTTAAATATTATTGGACTACCTGAAAGCCATGATCAAAAAAAAAAAAAAAGCCTAGATAGCATCTATCAAGAAATTGAAAAAATCCACTGATCACTTCCTGAAAGATATCCAAAAATGAAAATTTCCAGGAATATTTTAGCCAAATTCCAGAGTTCCCAGGTCAAGGAGAAAATATTACAAGCAGCCAGAAAGAAACAATTCAAGTATCATAGAGCCACAGTCAGGATAACACAAGGTTTAACAGCATCTACATTAAAGGATTGGAGGGCTTGGAATATGATATTCCAGAGGTCAAAGGAGCTAGGATTACAACTAAGAATCACCTACCCAACAAAATTGAGTATAATCCTTCAGGGGGAAAATAGATATTCAATGAAATAGAGAACTTTCAAGCATTCTTTATGAAAAGACCAGAGCTGAATAGAAAATTTAATTTTCAAATATAAGACTCAAGAGAAGCATAAAAAAGTAAAGAGGAAAGGGAAATCATAAGGGACTTAATAAGGTTAAACTGTTTACATTCCTACATAGGCAGATATACTTGTAACTCATAAGAACTTTCTCATTATTAGGGCAGTTAGAAGAAGTATATATAGTCAGAGGGCATAAGCGTGAATTAAATATAAAGGGATAATATCTAAAAATAAAGAAAATTAAGGGGTGAGAGAGGAATGTACTAGAAGAAGGGGAGAGATAGAATGGGATAAATTATCTCACCTAAAAGCAAGACAAAGCTTTTACAGTGGAGAGGAAGAGTGGGAGGTAAGAGGGAGTGAGTGAACCGTATGCTCTCATCAGAAGTGGCTCAAAGAGGGTATAACATAAACACTCAATTGGGTATAGAAATCTATCTTGCCTACAGGAAAGTAGGAGGGGAAGGTGAAAAGAGAAGGGGTGGATGATAGAAGGGAGGGCAGATTGGGTGAAGGGGTAGTCAGAGGCAAAACACTTTTGAGGAGGGACAGGGTGAAAGGAGAGAGAGAATAGAATAAATGGGGTGGGGGGAATAGGATGGAGGGAAATACAATTAGCAATAGTAACTGTGAAAAAAAATTTTGAAGCAAGTTTCTCTGATAAAGGCCTCTTTTCTCAAACATATAGAGAACTGAGACAAATTTATAAAAGAGCCATTCCCCAATTGATAAATGATCAAAAGATATAAACAGTTTTTAGATGAAGTAATCAAAACTATCTATTGCCATATGAAAAAATGCTCTAACTCACTGTTGATTGGAGAAATGCAAATTAAAACAATTCTGAGGTACTACTTCATATCTATTAGATTGGCTAACAAGACAGAAAAGGAAAATGACAGATGTTGGAGGGGATGTGGGAAAAAATGAGACATTAATGCACCATTGGTAGAGCTGTGAACTGATTCAACTATTCTGTGGAACAATTTGGAACTGTGCCCAAAGGGCTATAAAACCATTCACACCCTTTGACCTAGCAATAGCACTAGTAGGTCTATATCCCAAAAGAGACAAAAAACAAAAGGGAAAAGAACCCACAGGGACAAAAATATTTGTAGCAGCTCTTTTCTGGTGGCAAAGAATTGGAAATTGAAGGGATGCTCATCAATTGGGGAATGGCTGAACATATTATGATGGAATACTATTGTGCTATAAGAAATGACGAGCAGAATGCTCTCAGAAAAATCTGGAAAGACTTCCATGAGCTGATACAAAGTGAAATGTACTGTGTACAAGGTAACAGCAATATTTTAAGATGATCAGCTGTGACTGACTTAGCTATTCTCAGCAATACAAGGATCCAAGACATGATGAAAAATGCTATTCATCTCCAAAGAAAGTAACTGTCTGAATACAGATCAAACCGTACTTTTTTTTTTACTTTATTTTTCTCGAGGGGCTTTTTTCTTAGTCTACGTTTTCTTTCACAACATGACTAATATGGAAATGTTTTGCATGACTACACATTTATAACCTATATTGAATTGCTTGCCTTCTCAATTTAGAACTCAAAGTTTTAAAAACGAATGTTAAAAATTGCTTTTGCATGTAACTAGAGAAAAATAAAATACTAAATAAATTAAAGAAAAAAAAGAGATAAGTCTGATCAAAAAAACAAAACAAAACAAAAGTTTTCTTGATCGATCAATCAATAAACATCCATTAAGCTAGGCACTATTCTAAGCACTGGACTGATGCATAGAGCCATTTTCTTTTTACAGGTATTTGGAGGGGTTTGGAGGAGAGCTCAAGCAAGTCACTGCTTTTACTCCGCCATCTTGCCTCTGCCTAGACTGATGTAAAATGAGCCCTAAACTAGAAGTCAAGTAGTTGGGTTCTAATCTTACCCTTGGCTCTACCATTAACTCCCTGTTTGAGCAAATTGCTTCCCTGCTCCAAGCTTTATTTTCATAGAAGTATTTAACCTCTTTGGTGCTGGAAAGGACCTTAGAGATCATCTAGTTAAATCTCCTTTGTAGATGATAAAACTAAGGACCAGAGAGGCTGCCAAAGACCTTATCTCCCCATCTGGCTGAAATGCAGATGGCAGCCTGGTGAAATAACCTTGAAAACATGAGAAATAAATAGCAACCACCCTCTCCCAGCAAGAGTGGACTCACAGGATTCTAGGGCAAACTTGAACAATGGAAAGTCTGACAATTTGATTTTTCACCATCCAGAGATTTGGGGAATCTTACTCGCTCTATCAAGGTCCAAGTTGTGGTCACTTCTCCATTATTCACATGTGGATGATCTTCACTAACCTTTGAGGCTTCCTCTGCCCATAGCTGGTAAGGCAGTAGGATCAAGACAGGACTTGGAGACCGAGATTGGTGTACCTGTACAGTGTTGCCTTAGGATGCCTTTTCATTCTAAGGCCAAATGTCCTTTTCTTTTTCTTTCTTTCTTTTTTTTTTTGCCTTTTTGGTGAGGCAGTAGGGATTAAGTGACTTGCCCAGGGTCACCAAATGTACTCTTAAAATTATTTTCAGTTTTAGGTCATCTATGACTCTCTTTTACTGTCTACATTTTGTCAGGCTGGAAAATCAAGGTCCTTTTCACTACATATATAAGCAGGTAGGAGCATCAGTATTACTGGTTGAACCACTAACTAATACCAAGCCATGATAAGAGAAGGGTCCCCACAGGCCATTTTGTCACGATTCATTTACAATTTCTGGATGTTACTTCCAGCACCAAAGAGATCAGTGCTGAGGAAGTCCCTTCAAGTCCAGATGTAGAACTTTTGAAAGAAAGGAACTAGAATCCCCTACCCAATGCTCAGAGAGTGCTGCTCTCAGACAGTCCTGGGCTGGAAAGGACTCTTCTCACGACCCACCTCTAACCACTCCAGGATCTAGAGAGCTGGGTCCCTCTGGCTCACATCAAAATGTTCAGAGCTCAGTTTACATACCTCAAAGGAAGCATTTTCATCCCAACTAAGGTAGGTGGATATCCTCCGACAAATCGTAGAAACTTTAAACCATAACTTGAGTCCTTTAAGGCACAGGCTATAAATTGACCAAAGCCTCCAAAGTTCCCTCATCATGTGGCTTCCTGATCCCCATCTGTCTGTGCCCCAAAGGGATCCACAGGAAAATCCACTCCTTCCACCAACTCCCTGGTCAAAACTGACTCCTCCCCTGGGCAGGCTGACCCCTTTCCCAAGGTTATACACCCAAAGTTACTAAAGCTAAGGGTAGCTGGAAGCCGAATGGGGATTTTTCCAGGCAGGAGCTTAGATTAGGGAGGGCTCTAACTCCAGGCTCTAAGAGGCATTTCAGATGTTGCCTGACAGTTTAAAGCAACCCGCTACCATCCACTCAGCAGCAACAGCTTTTCAGCACTAGCTTCCTCTCCTCTGCCAACAGCCCCAAGTCAAAGTTACCACGATCCAGGACAGTCTTACCTGGTGTGTTTCTTCCTTCATCCTCCTGCCCTCAGAAGCTGGAGTCATTCGGCTCTCTTCTTCCTGTTGCTTCATTTACTGGTTTCTGGAGTTGCCAGGGGTTAAAGGACAAATGAGAAGGGACTGAGGGTAAATATCTACTGAGGGTGAAGAAAGTAGACAAGTGTCCAAAGCATGGGGATTGGGCACTATTAGCCAGAGAGGGCCCCACTGGAGCGGCACTGAAAGTAAATTTCTGGTCACAAAGGTGACTTGTACAAGGACAGAGAAAGCCTTCAATAAACTACTTGTTTAAAATCAGTTTCCATCCTTAGATAATCCTCATGTTGAGAAACACATTGACAATCTCACAATTTGAGAGTAACTTTAAGAGATTACATCTAAATCGCTCCCAAGTAACAGCTACCTTTTTTCTTTTTGAGACTAGTTGGTGCAGTGGTGGATAGAGTGCTGGACCTGGAGTCAGGAAGACTAGAGTTCAAATCTAGGTTGAGATACTTACTAGCTGCATGACCCTAGACAAGTCACTTAATATTTTGTTCACCTGTTTCCTCATCTGTAAAATGGGGATAATAATAGAACCTACTTCCCAGGGTGGTTGTGAGGACCAAATGAAATAATTGTAGAGTGCTTAGCACAGTGGAAGCACTACACAAATGTTGGCTATTGTTATTATAAAATATCCAAGGGAGAAAGATTACAGTCCTTGACAACCTGTCACAAAATCTCATGACTCAGGTGTGGCTAGGAAGTTTTCTGGTCTCTAACCTAGATTTATTCCTAACCTGGCTTTAGCTCCTGGGGTTAAGAACCTGACAGTTCTTAACCTGAGGTCCATGAACTTTCAAACAAATATTTTGATAACTATTTCAATATAATTGGTTTCCATTGTAATCCCATGTATTTAATTTTATGCATTTTAAAACATTCTGAGAAAGGGGCTATACTCACTGGAGTGGGGAAGCTTTGGCCTAGAGGCCACATGCAGCCTTTTGACCGAATCCAAATTTTACAGAACAAAGCCAAAGGGGTTCCCCACCCCTGGCTATAGGTTTTATGAGATTATCAAAGGCAACCCATGTGCTATAAAACAGGTTAAAAATCTCTGGTTTCAATTCTTATCGGAAACAGATATGAGTTAGTCACTTTGTTATAGAGATAGGAACTAGACTTTATGGTTTTTATTAGTATAGGGAACCCTCAGGTGAGGGAATTCCCTCTACCAGAGCAGGCTGAGTCAGTATCTTCTCTGTGGCCTTTCATCTTAGAGCAGGGCCATCTCCAGTTGTGCTGATATATCTGGCCACTGGACCCAGAAGGCTCTGGAGGAGAGAGTGAGGCTGGTGACTTTGCACAGCCCTCTCTTACTTAAATCCAATATACTTGCATGTCATGGCATCAGCTCCCTGATGTCATGGTCCTCTTGGAGAAGGAAGGACAAACAGCAATCACAGCAATCATCTTAGAGAATTGCCTAAAGCAAGGGCGTCAAACACTGGCCAGCCAGTGAAGCCTGAACCAGATTAAAATGTAATTAGGAAATAGTGAGGGCACAGCTAGGTGGCACAGTGGATAGAGCACCGGCCCTGGAGTCAGGAGGACCTGAGTTCAAATCTGGCCTCAGACACATAACACTCACTAGCTGTGTGACTCTGGGCAAGTCACTTAATCCCAACTCCCTCACCACAAAAAAAAAAAAAAAGAAGAAGAAGATATTTAACAAAATAAATATAAATACTAATAAAATAAGATAATATCACATTTTAAAACTAAGTCAATATGAGGCCCAAAGAGATCCTTATGTATAGATTAGTGGTCTCCTTTCCATTTGAGTTTGACACTCCTGGCCTAAAGCTTTGAGTTAAGTTTGCCCAGGGTCATACAGCCAGTATGTGTCAAGATGGGGTGGGTGGGACTTGAACTCAGGTCTTCTTGCTTTGAGACCAGTCTCTATCCAAATTATAATAATTTCAGATTGGCAAGATGGTCAAGTCATTGCTCTTATCTCAGAGCCCGTACTCCTCTGTTCTTCAGCCATCTTTCCCTTACTGTGAAACCATGGATCCCAAGACTGCATAGGTTCCAGATCCCAAGACTACACACAACAGATAGATCATTTCATTATTCTATGACTATGGCACCTGCAATGGGGTTAATTGACTTGCCCAGGGTCACACAGCTAGTAAGAGTCAAGTGTTCTGAGGTCACATTTGAACTCAGGTCCTCCTGGCTCCAGGGCCAGTGATCTATCCACTGCACCACCTAGCTGCTCCGTAATTTTTTTCAGTGGAGATCCTAACCCTTCTTGAGCTTAGTAGCTTGATCTCTGAAGTTGCTGTGACCAAAAAGTTTGCCTCTCCGCAGGTGAACATCAATCAAGTTGGTAGTCCTTGACAACAGCCATTTTACCCATCACCATGTCAGCACTTTGGTCTTTTCACCTTGGGTGAGACCTACCCAGCTGCCACAGACTTCACGTCCTCTAGGATAACACATTTACCTATCCATCACTCCTCAACACTTATTCTATGCCCAAGAAACATAAGGCATGGGCCTTGCCCTCAGGGAATTTGCAGTCCAGTTGGGTTCATAGGACATACAAATTGGGGGGGGGGGGCGGCCTTCTGTTGTGAGTTTTAAAGGTCAGATGAGAAGTACAGACATTAAGTGCTGTAAAATTGATCATTGTAGATTGGGGTAGTGAGAAGAGTTGGGATTTGAACAGCTGGACCTTGAAGAGGATGGATGGGATTAGGATTGGTGGAGAAGAGGGGGTAGGAAATATCATAGGAGGGAAAGAGCACAGATAAGAATGTGCAAATTATGATTAGGGAATGCCAGTTCAGAAAATGTTCAGTGAACTGAAAATTGAATTGACTAAAAGATGGTTGGGGGTGGGGGGAAGGGGAAATAAGGTGGCAAAGAGGTAGACTGAGGCCAGACTGTCAGGGGTTTGAATGCCAGGCAGGAGCTAGGACTTTATCCTGTAGGGAGTAGGAAGCTGGATTAAAGGTATCTGATGAGGTAGTACCTGGATTAAAGCGTCTGGAATAGAACTGGAAGGGGAAGAGACCAGAGGCAGGGAGATTAGTAAGGCCACAGTTTCAATGATCCAAATGTGGAGGACCTCAACTGGGTTTGGTGCTGGGAATGAAATGGGAGGCTTCATCTCCCATCCCACGTGGTGAAACCAAGAGAAAAATGATCTCTAGACACGCTCGATGAGAAGGAACCCTCGGGCCAATATCAGCTGGCTAATCTAGCTCCTTCCTGGAAGCCAGCAGCCATGCGTCCTCTAGTGCAGAAGTTCCCAGACTTCTATGTTTCATGGTGTTCTGAGTGTCTCAGTAATTTTTTCACAGCACCCTGGGTCAAATGAGATACCTAACAGTTCTGTTCAAGGAGTGAGGTCAAAGATGTTAACTGTCCTGTGGCGCCCTCATGAGGAGACTCGATGCTGTGCCCCAGGAAATTGTGGCCCTGGAGCCTCAGAATTCTCGCAGTGTTTCTAAGAGCCTCCTTCTCAGGCCATGGTATCACTTCCCCAGATCACCTCCGTCCTTGAACACGTCCAAGGAATGCACTGACTCCTTTTGTGATATGGCCTCCCTCAATTCTAGAAGTCTTTGTAGCTGTAGCTGTTAGTTTCTCATGACCCCTGTCCTCCAAAATCCCCATGATGGATTCTTTGGAGAGAATACCTTTTGACTAAAAATCTACAGGCGGCTCTTCCCTTGACTCGTCCTAGGTAATCATTTAAAATGGTGAGGTACTCTCTTGATCCAGAGAACCCCACAAAATCATGCAAATCAAGGGGTTCAAATCTCCGGGTGCACTTCAAGAACACCTGTGAAACAGTCCAAGCTATCGAGGGCATGCATATCCAAAAAGTTACCAAGTATTTGAAAGATGTCACATTGAAGAAACAATGTGTTCCCTTCAGGTGATATAATGGCAGGTGTGCCCAGGCTAAGCAGTAGGGTAGGACACAGGGTCGTTGGCCTAACAAGAGTGCTGCATTCTTGCTGCATATGCTTAAAAATGCAGAGAGTAACGCAGAACTGAAGGGTTTGGATGTGGATTCTCTTGTCATTGAGCATATCCAGGTTAACAAGGCTCCCAAAATGCAATGGCGTACTTACAGGGCTCATGGTCAAATCAACCCATACCTGAGTTCTCCTTGCCATATTGAGATGATACTTAATGAAAAGGAACAAATTGTTCCTAAACCAGAAGAGGAGGGTGCTCAAAAGAAAAGGATATCCCAGAAGAAACTGAAGAAACAAAAGCTTATGGCACGGGAGTAAATGTGGCATTAGAATGCAAATAAAAGTGAAATGAAAACATTTGTTACAGTAAAAAAAAAAAATCTACAGGCGGTGACTTAAGAGGTCCGAGCCTTCCTTGTCCTCCACAGAGCAACCATAACTTGGTGGGGTGGATGGGTCACTGAAACTACAAGTCAGAAGACATCCGATTTGGTTCTACCACTAACTCTCTGTGACCTTGGGCCAATCTCTTTGAGCCTCAACATTGGATGTTTGTTGCACAAAATAACCATTCCTGTCCAGTGAGGTTATTGGAGGGATCTAATGAGGGGCAGGCTAGGCAGTGCAGTAGATAGGGTACAGGTCAGGGGAGACTCATCCTCCTGTTCAAATCTAGCTTCAGACACTTA